CGATATTAGGCAAGACGTCGTTGAGCGGGTATGCCAACTTCATTGAGGAGGCCATGACTGTGTACTGTTAGCCGGTGCTCTTAAAAAGCTTGTTGTAGGTGACTCACCAGAGAAGAGATGACTGATGCGCCAACTCAGGTCCGTCCACTCTTTCTTAGTATATCTCAAGACCTCTTTCTCGCCTTCTGAGGCCTTCACATCTTTGAGTATGACGACGTTCATAGCATGGAAACTATCCAAGATACGGCTGGTCGCGCCTAGAATGACTTTGAAGCTCTTGTCTGGGAACGGGCCCTTGAGCTCGAACTCTGCGGCAGCTGATGCTCGCAGCGTGTCCAGATGAGACAGATACCGACGAAGCTCTAGTTCTTCGCGTTCGGACATGTACGTGTACGTCCGGCTTGTGCGTTCGTTGGCTTCGAGTAGGGTCTTCAGAGGCCCACGTTTCCAGATCAACCCCATCTTTAGCCATAGCAGAGACGTGCCCTTCTTGACTTTGCGGCGCGCAGAGATAGGCCAGATGACTCTCGTCACTATGATACCCCATATACATCCAACCATCACTGCAACCACACGGTGGAGTACAATCTCCCAAATTTCGGGTGAGATACCACCCTCATCGTCATCGTCGTCATCGTCCTTGACGGAGAGCGAGTATGCGTAAAGTGCAGAGAGATTGTAGGTTAGCAGGATGAAGCGACCCATAGGCCCCTTGCCCTTTCCAACGATGATGTAGAAGCAGAACAGGGAGATGATCCAGCCGAAGAAACCCAAGACGAAGGCATGCTCGTCAGCTGCGATCCATGCAGCGATCGCCAGTATAGCTCCGAGACAAGTACCAGCAAAACGTTGGAAACCAGTAGTATTGGAGGCACCGATGGTCATCGAGCACACCAACATGTATGACAACAAGCCCCACTCGCCACGCCAGTGACCATAGAACCCTCGAGTCGACTGGATGAAGGACCACATGGCGTAGAGGACTGCGCCAATGCCAACCTTGACGGCGTATTTGAGGTCGTCTCTTCTAAAGACGGCCAATGATGTCCAGATACGGTATGAAAGTGGCTGCTCGTTTTCTGGCTTATAAGGGTCTCCACGGGTCGACTTCCGGTAGATAGGGTTGTGGATCTCACGCGAGCCTCCTGGTGTGTGAGCCTCTGTCTCATCGATAAGATAGGCCTCCTCAGGGCTGTCTCCCGCCTTATCCTTCTTGCGCCCACGCTGCCAGAATTTCAGCCAGCTGTAGGTTCTTTGCCGCGGGTAGCGATTGACATTAGCTTTCAGCTCTTCGAGGATGTCAAGGAACGACACCATGTCTTCAGCGAAGTCTAGAAGCGACGAACTAAAGTATCCACAGCTTGCGGCAACCTCCTCAAAGTCTGCTGCAATCGCTGCAGAGCTGGTCCTCGTTGGTATCTTGTTCTTGTAGACAGCCGAGAGGGCTTCCCGACGTGCATCTGAGAAGAGGGCCTTGGCATCGACTAGACTGTGGCGAAAGTGCTCGTTGATAGCCATGTTGTACTCGGGTCCAGGTCCAAAAGGCAATTCAGAAAGGACCTCGCGTAGTGTGTATGCTAAGGATTTCTACTGGTATTAGCACAATTCGCAGACAGCGACTCTTAGACGTACCATTGGCGGTCCCAAGCTAGCAATGAACACCGAGAACATGTCAGCAGGCGTAAGGTCTGATTTCAAAAGGTTCGCAACTTGGTCGGACTTCTTCTTGGTCGGAGTGGACTCGTCGTCGGATCCAGCTGCTGAGGGATATGCAGATGCTTGGGAACTTTCCGGTAACTCGTCGATAGATGCAAGGATGCTGGTTCGCCTCTCGGTATGGCTGAGACTGGGAGACATTTGCGGAGGACTGAAGGACATCGTATGGTCCGAGAATATCGACGAGTTTACAGTTCCATTAGCGGGTATTGATCGTTGTGACGTGACGCTGGCGCCAGGCTCGGTCTCCGATTGCGCCAACAGCGTAAATTGGGTTTCCGCAGCACTGCGCAATCCACCACAGCTCTGCATGAGCTTTTCTAGACATTTGACCAGTTTCGCGTGAATCCTGTACTCTTCCTCAGTACCCAGCGCATAATGCTCAAACTTGGCTTCTCCCAAGTTCTTTAACAGAGATTTGAATGTTGACTGGCTCTTGTTGGATGCTTCAACATATGATTCGCTCTTGAGGTCTGACTCGGCGCCGGAAAGGAAGCTGAGGGTGATATTGTTGAGCATCTCTGCCATGGCATCGGTAGACTGAATGAAGGTATCGCGGAATTCGTTGCGCGCCGACTTTGGTTGTACGAGGAGCGATACAAGTGCTGAGGCGGAACAGCCCATGATTATCATCTTCAGAACCTGCCAGACTTTGACGTAGGAGAACTTGGCTGCCTGAACAGCTCCCTCCTTGGTCAGGATCGTAATGAGAGCTAGCGATGTCAGTGAGCAAGCCACGTTGACCAGTGGGTTCCCAAGCTTCTGTTTTGTCCATCCAACAAGCCCTAGACCTCCTCCGCAGAATACGATGAGCACTATCACATGCCCAAGGACTAGGAGATCTTGGTTTCCAAAGTATGCGGACACGGCCATGCTAGAGAAGGATACGAAGGCGGCATACAGAAAGGCAGCGAAAGCCAAGATGACAGCCTCCAGCATGCTACCGGCCGAGCGAGCTGGGTGGAAGTACACAGTGATAGTCGCGACTATGTGCTTTCCATCGTTCTTGCCTAGTAACCCTGCGATTGCTGGTACGAACGTCGCCAATGATCCGAGGACATAGGCCAACGAGCACTTCATTATGCCAATCCCGATAGGACTCGTCGCATACGCGTAGCCTTGTCGACATTTGTTCGTAAGCACCACCTTTGCAAACTCGACTCTTCCCATCTCCCGGTGTCTCTCAGCATCGTATTGGCCGGGCGCAAGTAGGAACTCGGAGGATTCGGTCGGTCGGTGTTGGGATCTTCGTAGGGTGAAGGATCTCTTGATGCGCTCGCCAGTGTTGGGTTGCACCATGGTCGCGCTGCGTAGCTATAGCTTGTGGTCAGCGCATTGCCTATATGGCCTCTGAAGACGCGACTTACGCTGGGCCGCAGGAAGCGGCGCTGAGCCGGGGTTTGCGGAGCATCGTTAGCCATCGGAGAGGTCGTAGACCGTATACTCTAATCGGATTCTAGGACATGGCGAATGAAGCAGCTGTGAGAGGCGCGCCGTCCAAGCGCGTCTTGGTGATTGTTGGTCGTGAACCCTGCAAATGCCCAGATCGATGGCACTGGCGCTAACGCCACAGCCACCCACGTAGCACCTCCATCGGTGCTTACATGTTGTACTACCTGCGCACCATGAGGAATGAGGCTGGTAGCTTCAGCGCTCGCAATCACCGCGTCGAGATGTCATAGAAGCGTGACGATGTTGAGGTACAGTTACCGAGGTGAAGACTAGCGGCATGTTGACGCGATTTGGTCATCACCAGCGATACGATGAACTCGACACCAACACTAGAAGCCCTTCTTCAACCGACCTACACGCCAACAATCTGACTCGTTACATATCTACGTCCTCACGTTAACCTAAGAGAAACTGAACAAGTCTGCAGCCTACATTAACATGGAAATATGCAAATGAATAACATAACTTTTCAATACGACATTGTATGCTGAAAACAGAAGCATATAGTAGTGTTACGTTCGCGGATAGGTCAGATTCGCTAGGATGGTTCTTGTACATCGAACCACCTAACCGCTGCCCTCTTGCCTCTTCAACCTCTCAAATAGCTGGACAAAAGCCTCCGGTTCCTGCGCACCTCCGATCTCAAACTGATCGTTAATGGTAAAGTTGGGAACGCCTGTAATCTGTTGTCGGCGCGCCTGCTGGACTTCCTTGTCAACTTCAGGTCCTCCTTTGCCTGACTCCAGCCAATCCTTGATCTCTTTCTCATCAAGTCCAGCCTTGATTCCTGCCTCAGTAAGGATCTCTTGAGTGGCAATGTCCTTCTCGTTCTCAAAGTACGCAGCGAAGAGCTCCTCGATCACGCGAGTCTGCATCTGCGGGCCCTTGGTTTTTCCAAGTTGCACGAGTCGGTGCGAATCGCGTGTGTTTCCAGTCTTGCCGCCGTACTTGAAGTTGATTCCCTCATCTTTGCCAATCTGCGAGAGACGCTCCTGCATCATTGCTGTGCGCTCTTTGCCGAACTTCGACTCGTACAGTTGTTGCTTGTCTGCGCTCTTTGGTGCATCAGGGTTCAGATAGAAGGGATACCAGCTGGTTTGGAAAGTGTCGTTAGAGTCTGGGTGCTTCTCCATATAGGCCGCGATACCCTTTTCCAAGCGCTTTTTTCCTACATAGCACCATGCTGTGACTTGATTAGTATCGGATGTATAGTATGCGATGCGTTGTTCATAAGGACTTACGGCATACGGTGTCGCTAACGATGTCAACCTTGAAGTTGGTCATTTTGCGTAAACTTGCTCTCAACGCCACGATGAAGTTGTGCGCGATAGATTTCGCTGATGAAATGATGTCATCGCTGCGAGACTGCTTGCTCTTATACCTACCGTGCTACATGGATGGCGAGTGCTGCTGACAAATTGGTGGTGGATGTCGAAGTTGCCATGATCGGCCAAACTCGCCCTTCCAGCCGCTTCCGAGGTTATTCTAGAACATCGATCTCTTCCATCGCACATAGGACTGCGTTCTCACCCTGACAGCGCATGCGACAACACCACGCTACTCACTACTTGGTCTTTGTTGGAATGCTGATCGGAATCTTCTGGGTTGCCTGCTGTCGACTTGAAGCTCACGCGGTTACAGAACTAACGCGGTCGTTCTTGCCATCTGACTCGACATAGATCCAATTCCCCACCATTCAGTATCATGCTAATATACAAAGTCAAATGCTCACTAACGCCACGCTATGCTTAAAGACAGGCCGTCGCTCATCGCTGTCAGAATAAGCAGCAAGACTCTGTATCCAGACCACGCAAGGCCTTCCATTCAGCCACTTATTTCTTGGACTGCTGCCCGCGTTCCAATTCCTGTCGAAACTTCGGGCCACGGAAGATAATCAATATAATCCCTGGTATGCAGAGGAGGTCTATAATCCCCAGACCGGTAAACGCCCAACCCCAACCCATTGCATCCAAAATGCTGGCCATGATCAGTGAGGAGATCGCGGCAGCCATGTTGCGCATGAATCCTGCCAAAGCCACCAGACTGGCCGCCTGACCAGGGTCGCACTCAGTCTGGAAGGACGTACTGGTGACAAAGATGATAGACATGCCGATTGCGGCCAGAGCCGTACAGAAGAGGACCGCTGCGGGGTGAAAGTGAGCGAGCGCAAACCAGCCGAACATAATCTTTCCAGCCGCAGCGATGACGAAGCCAAAGATTTGGATGGTAATTCTTCGCTCAGGTGCAACCTTGCCAGTAGAGCTCTTCGCAAGAGCCCTCTTTCGCATCCAGTCGGAAAGTCGACCGACGACCATCGAAGCGACGAACATCGCAATGCCAGGACATATATAGGCATACCCGGTCTCTGCTGCCGTCCAGCCGTAACCTTCCTGCCAAATGGTGGCAAACGAGATGAAGATGGCATATAGTCCGGCAAACTGGAATGCTCCATTGAAGGAAACGATCAAATGTGGAGGGTATCTAAGAAGATGCAGGAACTTTCGAGGCGTTGGACGGGGAGCTTTCGGAGCTCTCGAGTCTGTACAGGGCTGTGTCCGGAACTTGGGTATCGAAAACCAAGGCTGGTTTGCGACAGGTGCGCCGTTGCCTACCAGCGATCGCAATGTCTCCGGCGTACAGAAGACGATGAGGAGATATACCGGAAAACTTGCGATGGAAAGGAAACCGAATATCCATCGCCATCTACTCTCGTCCGCGAGTGCACCACCAATAAGTGGACCAAGGACGGGGCCAAGCTGAGGTCCCATCAAAAACCATGCTAAAGCGGTTCCACGTTTGGCAGGCTCAGTGATATCAGCAACGGTACCGGCTCCGACGGAAAAGACGATACATGATCCGAATGCCTGGAAGACACGGAGAATGTACAGCTCCGCGATATGTGGTGGCAGCACAGCGAGTAGGGTGTTCGCGACGAGGAAACTGCCGAGTCCGAACATGTATACTGTTTTCCTTCCGCCTAGATCTGAGGCAGCAGCACCGAAGAGAGGCCACGCAATCTTAGTTTTGCAATTCGAGCTACCGGTACGGATGACTTACGGCAATGGCGAATACCATCATATACATTGAGACTGTACCGTTTACCGCAGTCTCTGATGCACTGAAGATCTTCTCGAATATTTTCAGGGAAGGCAAGTAAACCGCTCCGCATAGTGGTCCAAAGAAGCCCGCCGCTGTAACGACACCCAATATGAATCTTCTGCGATTCACCGAGAAAGCCGAGTATGGTTCTGGCAACGATGGAAGAGCAGTAGGTCCATTCGTTGATGGTTGCTCGGTTTCATTCCGGGGTTGCGCTAAAGGGTAGTCATCGCTGTCGATGCTCTCACGGTACCGGCCATTATGGCGTTCCTTCACGAAGTCGATTGGGGAACGCATGGCGAAAGAAGGAGAGAAGTATGCAATACGATGCGGATAAACGCTCGACGAGGAGCGTTCTTGGAACCCAAGAATACAGACAAGACGGATATGTACGGCGACGTCAAACCTAGATTGCCTAATCTTCGGAGCGTTCTATGTGCCGATGACGAGCAGCTCTGAACTGCATGATATGAGACCTAATCCCAGGCGCCATTGTGTTGCGTTTGACAGGTCGCAGCATAGCCCTGGTTTCTGCACTGCCTGTAGGAAGGCGCCCTGGCTTAAGGGCAGTATTTTCGTCTCCGCTGCGGTCAGATTCCCACCAGAGGGGTACTGAGCCGCATCCTACGCCATATCCGCATAGTCATGCACCCCGCTGCTCTAGCCTCAGGGCTTGCCAGTCGCGGAATGAACTAGGTGCGCGTCATTGTTGGTATCGGAAAACGTCCGACACAATGACCCGAACAAATCAACCCGACACCACGCACGACTCGTGGCAATAACCCGACATAAAATCCAGCGATGCACACGTTATTACTTATACGTGTGATCATGTATGCAACGGCTAAAGCTTGCTAGAAGTTTTATGTGAAGCCATCTTCATTACGTCTGCATCCAGCTCATGCGTTCCGTGGTGTGCGAAGATGTGGCGGCTACCCTATTCTACACATGAAGACGCTTGATATTGCCGGCGATGGCAAAGGGTTGGATGAAACAGTCACAGCCTCCACCAACGATTTGAATCTTCTCGGGCGCCAGGGCACGTATACAGGTCAGTAGGCTCAGAACAACAGGTTGCGAAAGCTGTTGCCATTTGTCTCCCCACTTCGCTCGATTTGGTCGCAACTTTAGGGCGCATATGTTCATACATCAACAGGTCCGGCTCTTACTTCCTATTCATGCATATCCTCAGCAAATTCATGTGGTCTATGAGGCACAGTGAGGGCGAGCGAATCCGCTTGGACGACGACCGTGGCAGCGAATCCGGACACGATATGAATGCCATGAGTATGATGGGCTGACGGCTGCTCAAGGTTACTACGGATCGGATCATATCGGGAGTCACTGCTGGCTTTGATATGACATTGCATCGGGTTGAGCATACATGGCGTGCGGAAAATGCAACAAACATGCGATACTTCTGAGAGCACCTGGGTGGTATCAACAAATAACAACAAGAGTATACCTGTAAACGTCATCGGCTGATATACTGTTGTACCAACACTGTCAGCGCATGTTTACCCAGCCAACTACTTCCACGCCGCGCGATGCACGTAAGCCCATTGGCCCAAATTCATGGTCGCCCTCCAACCGATGTCCCAAAGACAAGCATCTCGCAATGTTGGGAAGCTCAAAACATTGTTACAACGACACGTATACCCACGCTCTGTTCAACGATCGATCTGTTGTTGCATCCAACATGCAGCATCGCATGTTCATCCAGCCTGCCTGGATCCTGATCTCATTCGCCTTTCAAGTCCAGCAACCAAAACCCCGGGACACGACTGCACGGCTTCCCACTGCGCTTGCAATAACGATTCATCTATCGCACGTTGGCTAAAGAGCGCTCTGCCTATAAGCTGCAGTCCCAACACATGCAACATAAGCGGCCCGTTCCCCTCGCATCACCAACAAATAACCACGACCTGCATGCCATCCAACATTATTCCGCGCCTCAACACCTGCCGCGCAGTATCGTCTTGTCATGATTGCGCAGGATGCGGATGAAGGCGCGAAATCTGCTCAAAACCTTGGAAACCTTCTCACCTCGCTTACCGTCTAAACCTATTCCGGCATAGCGATCTGCGGGCCGCCCTCTCCTGGAGTCTTGTCGACTACCTAGGTATCAAAACAAGGGCCAGCAGGTCTATTCAATGTTACCGATCTGTCTGGTGGCATGGTGGGCTGAGATAACAATCGGCCGTCCTTGCTTGACCAATACTGGCATGCAGTGGCGCCGTCTGCAGAACTTCGGGTACCGCGTGGGAACGGCGGGTGCGAGAAGGGTTCTGAGGCCTGGCATCCCTGGGAGGGAGCTTACGCCACAAAAAGAACGATATAAACGTCGTGATTCCACGTTCACTCTCCCGGAAATATCCTTAGTGGCAGACTTCACTTCAGTTTCAGACTTCTTTGTTCGTCAAAATCTCCGCGTTTGAACTGTGAATCATTTGGGGTGGTTGCCGCTTCCATTCAAGGTCACGCAGGGGAAAATCTGCTCATAACTTGCTCAACCCTACTTCTCACACCACTCATATTCATTCACTTGCGCTGTTTCGTTTCCAACAAATTTCTGGTAGGCCGTGCTTTAATTGCAGTCGCTGCGATATAACTTTGGACTTGTTTCTCACTACCTTTCTATGCAGGTACAAGCAATTATGTCTATGGATATGGAAATGTCGATGGCTCCGACGAGCACCGGTATGGCTATGTCGGGCATGTCTATGGCGTCGACTGCTACCGGCATGGCGCCGATGGCTACTTCGTCAGGCGGAATGGGTGGCATGGATGATATGGTCGATATGATGGGCGGATGCAAAATTAGTGTAAGTTCTATCCCATCTTCTCTCGCAGTGAGGAGAAAGGAAGTCTCAGCTAACAACCCATCCCGCAGATGCTGTGGAATTGGAACGTTATAGACACATGTTTCATCGCAGAGTCCTGGCACGTACGCTCCAAAGCCATGTTCGCCGGCTCCTGCATCGGAGTAATCCTCCTCGTCATCCTCCTCGAATTCCTGCGGCGCGCGGCCAAAGAATACGATCGCTACATCGTCCAGCAACACTCCAAGACACTCGCTTCCTCGGCGATCGGCTCCTTTTCCTCCTCGTCATCGAACGCCAACGACAGCACGACTAAGCACCCTGCTGCTACAACATCGCCAGCTGCTTGCGGCGCCATGGCTGCGACGACGAGCAAGTTCCGACCGAGCATTTCACAACAAGCGGTTAGGGCGGCGTTGCACATGGGTGCATTTGCTGTGGCTTATTTCGTCATGTTGCTGGCGATGTATTACAACGGGTACTTTATCATCTGCATCTTCATCGGTGCGTATCTTGGATACTTCATCTTCGGGTGGGAGAGCTTCAACGTAAGCAGTGGGGGCGAAGATCGTATGCAGGAAAATGCCACGGTTTGCTGTGGGTAGGAACGTAGATGTTTGTCAGGATAGACTACATGATTCGAAAGTATCTGCGAAATTAGCGACAATGACAAGAATTCACGATTTGTAGTATCATATGGCACATGTGTTGTTGTAATGAAGTGATTGATTGTCCTGTGTGGTATCTCATGAGCCGCCGAACTCCCCTCATCCCCTAATCATCGGACACCTCTAAATAACCACCCGTGGCATATATCTTGGTAGACTCCATATGGTACATAGCTTGTAAGATCGTCTGCAGAGTCTCAGCATGGATGTCGCGTGTGTAAGTGTTACGATGGCACTCACAGTATTGTGTTCATTGCACGCCATCAATGCGAGGATTGAATGACTTATTTGCCCTGAAGAAAGGTCAGCATCGTGTTCGTAAGAAAGACAGGGTATGACATACGGGGCATCCATCGCAAGTGCAGGTGGAGCCGCAGTTGCAGCTACCAGAGGCACAGCCGCAGTTACCCTTCATTATTAATGGTTGAAGATGGGTTGTTGGTTTGTGGGAAAGTAGGTTGATATAGTTGAATGTGAGTTGGCTTGATGGAATTGACTTGATTGTTGTGATGTAGGAGTAAGCAGCAGAGGGCCAGCAACCAACTTCTTATATACCCGAAGCATGCGCGACTTGTGCGGCAGCACAGCCAAACGCAGGGCCCTTCACGCCACCTCTTCCCTGCGGCACCGCCGTCAGCGGCGGCTCCCGTTCATGTGCTTCACGAGCTTTGCCCCGCATCCCACCGTGTTTGTAGCATTGTTGACTGTAAGCTTTGGCCTCAGTGGTCGATAGCTCCGTTGGTAAGTTTAGCCGCGTGCACGCGTTTTGTGCTATTAGCTCCTTATCTTATAAATTAGACGCCCCGCAAAAAACCTTGCTTATAAGTCCTTGCAGCTTCTAAAAACTTCTTAGCTAATTATAGAGCTAGCGTATAAACTAAACTTCTTAGCTAATAAGAGCTAATTATATAATACTTATAGTAAGGCTTTTATAGAGCGTCTAAGAAAAAATAGTAGAACTTTTAGTAAATAAGTATTTTAAATTATAACTTTAGTAAAGTTTACCTATTAGTACTATAATACTACTATCTTATCTTATTATAGTGTTAGATATAATAGAAAGCGCAAGTTCTTCTTAATACTATTATATTTATTAGGTCTAATTTACGCGTAGTATTAATAGAGAAGTATAGCGTTATAAAAGATAATATTTTAGCTTTTTAGCGTAATTGCGTCTTGCTAACCTACTTACTACGTTCTATCTACTTTATACTTACACTAAAACTTCTATAAAGCTCTATAAAGTTCTATAAAGCTCTATAACTTTCTATAAACTTTTATACTAGTTATAGTTATGTTTACTATACGCGTTATATTATAGTATTATAGTATTATAGTATTATATATAGTAGTGCTATAGTACTCTAA